GTTAACCTTATGAGAAATGGAATTAATGAATCTTAACAGCTGTTTCAATTAAACAAGTTGGTTCTGTTGTATGATGTTCAATAGCATTAAAGTTACAAGGATTACCAACAGGGTGCAGCACTATTATTTCTTTTACATTTATGACAACAGCTAATTTGCAACCAAAAGGTGAGTGAGCGTAGCGAACGAACTTCAACCTGGAGGCGAGTTAGCGTAGCGAACGAGCTAACCTGAAGGCAAGTGAGCGCAGCGAACGAGCTCCAACCTTAAGGTGAGTGAGCGTAGCGAACGAGCTCCCACCTAAAGGTGAGTGAGCGTAGCGAACGAACTTCAACCAGGACGTGATTGAGCCATGCGAACGAGATCATCTTGAAAATTAAGAAGTTAAACGGGGCAAAGCCCGCGGGTTAGGCCTACAGCTAGTAAAATATAAAAACTCAGGAACAATAAAAAACCATTGTATTTAGCTCAGCATCATAAAAACAATACAAAACAAAAAGAGTAAACACACTTATTTTAAAGTCAGCTGATAAATAAAATTTACAAAGAGTAATCCAAGACATTACACTCTTACTTCCCATTTACCTAGGAGGCTGAAATTTGGTACACTGATTCTTTAGGCATTAAATAGGAAAACAAAGCTGTTTTTATTCTGATCGGACTCTCGGGCTCCGCCCCAGTGGCTCTGGAGTTTCCCATGTTAACCTTATGAGTACTAATATTTAAATGGAATTAATGACATCTTAACAGCTGTTTCAATTAAACAAGTTGGTTCTGTTCTATGATGTTCAATAGCATTAAAGTTACAAGGATTACCAACAGGGTGCAGCACTATTATTTCTTTTACATTTATGACAACAGCTAATTTGCAACCAAAAGGTGAGTGAGCGTAGCGAACGAACTTCAACCTGGAGGCGAGTTAGCGTAGCAAACGAGCTAACCTGAAGGCAAGTGAGCGCAGCGAACGAGCTCCAACCTAAAAGTGAGTGAGCGTAGCGAACGAACTTCAACCAGGACGTGATTGAGCCATGCGAACGAGCTCACTTATATAGTTAAACGGGGCAAAGCCCGCGGGTACAGCTAGTAATAGATAAGAGATAAAACTATGCTGATAATGTAATTTGGCAAGTTGAAAAAGAGAAAAAAATGCCCAAGTTTCTCAGAGTTATTGTTTTGAAAAAAAGTATAATATTATTCGGGTTAAAATTTTCGGGAAACTTTTTTGCTTTTAAATTTTATTTTCTTTTACATTCAATTTTGTTTCAATTGAAGATATTATTAAACCATATAGAAGCTAAGGTATTAGGCTTCAAAAAAAGTTTAAGTGTACAAGTAATTTATTAATAGGCCTAGTTACAAAATTAAAAAAGTTTAAAACTTTTTTTAGTTTATGGTTTCAAGTCACAGGCCAAAAGTCACCCCGTTTTACGGTACTAGTTTTATCTGTAAAATCAAAGCAAGAGGTTATAGCATAGTAAATGTCCTAATTAAATTAATTCTCTCTTTTATTCTGTACGGTATTTTTGTGTATAGGCCTATGTATGTTTTGAAGCATTAGTGTAGTGCCCTTATTTCTCAGTGTTTCACAGAAAAGATCCCATGTTTATAAAAATGTCAACCAGAATAAAGTGTGTAATGGTGAGGTAGTATTTACCTAACTACTTTTAACCAGTGTGGAAAGTAGCTTTTCAATTAGGCCTACAGTGTATACCTTTGGGCTATATCTGGTAGATATATAAAGCTGTTATTTTTTAGTTTAATCATTGGATACCCATCAAAATTTGATGGGTATATCCAATGATTAAACTATTTAATAGAACAAAAAAGATTAATGTCCGGGTGACATTTAATTGCAAAGCATATTGGTTTGGCTTGAAACTGTCAGATATGGTGTTTACGAAGGTTGTGAATATTCTTCTAGTAGTTTTGCCTGCACGTCTGGAAAAATGCACAAAATACTCAATCCAACCGCTGAACTGAATATAAGAATGTTTCAACTGACTACAAGATCCCTGTCCGTAGAACGGGCACACAGCTAGTTTAAATTTATGGGACACTGTGAAATTAGAAATTGTCTTTGTAGTTTACAGTTTTTATCTTGGTTTTACAAACAGCCATAACACCGCCATAACAGCAAAGTAACTTTTGTTAATTTCATACAGCCACAAAAGCTGAGTTATTTACCATCTCAAAATATTTTTTTCAAATACGAAAGTGATTGTAATTTAAATATGTAGTGCATTTTAAGATTATAAATTTTATTTGTACCGTAGTTTTTTTAATTCTTTAAAGAGTTAGAATGTCTATGCTCCAAGAACTCTAAACACAACAAAATTACCGTACTACCTATTTCAAAAATGCTTATTTTGCTTATTTACATTAAATAATTTGGAACCAACAGAAAATTTATAACCATGTAGGCCTATATCGAATTTTTAGTGATGAAACAATGTATTTTATCAAATATTCATTAGATTTACAATACCCCCGCCGCAGCAAACCTGCAGACTTAGCGAATTTCCATTTGCCTGATTGGATTTAAACTAAAATGTCTCCTTAAAAATATCACATTTATTCCCAATTTAAACAGAATTAGTTTAATGAGCACTTAGGTTTGCTACAACAGGGGGGGGGGGGGGGGTAAAAAAGTTTTTTTTAATGTAAAATATTAAAAGGTACTGTGGTTTAGTAAGAAATTAATGTATTTTCCAAATTTGATCAAAATATGTTCATAAACAAGCAAACAGCAACAGTTGACTTATTCTCCATAAGAATAACATGGGAATTTTAAATTGACCGATTTTTGGAATTTTCTCCGTAACCATTAGGTGCATAATAACGCTTCAATATACTAAATTATTTGTTTTTTTTAAGCTCTACAAAATGGTTTGAAAAGAAATTGCTAAATTTTAAGTTTTTAGATTCAAAAATGGGAAAAACCCATTTTTACCCCATAAAACCCCCCATAAACCCCTGTTCCCATAGTCTGATCATGCTGGTTCGCGAACTCGTTCGAATAAACGTACGTTTACACGTTTGTACCAAATTTCATCAAAATCGGATGATTTTTGCTTGAGTTATCGCGCTAACGGACACATATATAAATATATATAAATATATATATATATATGAATTTGAACGGATGGTGTTTTTGGCCTCTAAGGACCTCAAAACGAAAAAGTAAATCGGTCCCGGGTCCAGGTCATACCATGAGTACTACGGTAATAGCTTATTCCCTTATGGGAAATTCGCTAAAAGTAAGCAAAACTTAACGGGCATAGTTCCGATAATATTTGTGAGCGCAGAGAAATTTGTTTACTGTTATTTTCAAATAAAATTGATTCTAGTTTCTGGTGATAAAATTAGAACCAGAATTGCTTTAGGCTATTGCCAAAAAATACATAATGTACAAGGCAAAAGTCACTAAAACTAATTAAAACATAAAAACTATTTAAAACTAAAAGTTATAGGTAAATATGAATCCAAACTTCTGGAGGTACCTACATGTTGTTTACAATTGAAAAATGAAAACACCATGTTTTTGTATAATTATTTAGTAAAACTAAAGATTCCTGACCCAGGTGGACTGAGGAAGGTTTTTATGAAAACTTGAGCGGGATTATGGAATGTGTTTGTCAAATTTCCTCCTAAGATTGAAGCCATGGTGTGGTGACCTCACCATAGATTTAACATAGATGGACGATCGTAATTGTTCACTTCTACATAATGCGCTTCAATTAGTCAGTTGTCGATGCACGGTCTGGGAACCTACTCGAGGACCTGCTTGCCTGGACAATAACTTATGGTAACGGCATGTACCTAAAACAGTGTTTGCTTTCGGTGAATGCTGTTAAACTTCCTTTTACCGGATTATCATGTCATTCTTACATTACTCTTGCAAATACATTGCTCTTTCCCAGTGTAGTCGACAAGAAAAAAGCAACTCGCCCTAATTTTATTGTGAGACCTATAACAAAATGGAACTTTTTACAGAACAGTTAACTTAGCCCAACTTATTAACTGGGAGAGCCTACTCTATGGCAAAAATACTATTACAATTTGTACTAAAATTTAGCAAATAACAATTTAGCAAATAATACTGAAAGGCTTAGGCTACATAGCAGCGAGAAGTCCAGTAACCAAGCTTTCGTAAATAAGTTACACAAATACCATTGGCTGCTGCCAAACTAAACAACTGTTAAGTCACAACACCACTTGCGACGTTGCCACTTCGAATGCCGCGGCCTGGAGTCAAAGGCGGCCGGGGTACTGGTAAGTTACTCGGCTGCACTTTACTTTAGGTCCTACACTCATTCAAATGAAAATATTGATTATTCGATTGTTTCATTCGATATATCGTTTGGTTAGTTAGGTTAGGTTAACCTTACCTAACTAACCATACGATATATCGAATGAAACAATCGATTAATCGATATATCGATCGATATTTTCATTTGAATGAGTGTAAGACCTAAAGTAAAGTGCAGCCAGTTACTCTTGGTCAACATAATCGCAATAACTTAATTACCAATATTTTAAACTGACTAAGTTTACGGGCCTATCAATTAGGTAGGTATAAAACTATAAAATGATAATTGTCATAACCTAGCCTAATTTAGCTGGTAGGGGTAGGAGAGAAAAAACAGAATGAAGGCTTAACTTACTAATCGAATCGATAGTTTCAATCGATATTAGCATGACCCAGTTAAGAAACTCTACCCCCTATGTTAATTTGGGGGATGGAGATGAATCTAGTTTATTTCTCAGTAAGTTAGGCTAGGCCTAGCGTATTTAATTGTGAACTAAGTTAGCCACATATCGAGCCTGGAAAAAGTGTTGAAATCTGGTTACGAACATATTTTCAAATCTAGTAACTTAATAAAGTTTATAGGCGTAAATAATATGAAATGAAATATAAAACCCCTAATATGCCCCTAAATAACAATGTAGGATGTTTTAAAAGAATGGTGTTACTAAAATGTAAAATGTAGCCTACTAACCTGCAATTTAGTAGTCATTTTTCTCCTCCTACGTTGTGATGAAGAACAAACCGTCATATTAAATCAATGTTTTTCTTCTTCTGTTATTATATCAAAATAATATTATTATTTTGTAAAAGACTTTACAATGATAAGTTACACTAATTTAGAAGAGATTCAAGAGAAACTTAACTGATTACTGAATACTGATTAGTTAAGTTTAGTTAGGTGAAGGTGAAGGTGAGGTGTCGGAAAGTCGGAGTGAGTGGAGGGAGAGTGGAGTGCGCGGTGGTGGGAGGGAATCACCAAATGAAAATAACCGAATCAATCGGTTATTGATGCTGAATAGACTGATTCGGTTATTTTATCCTGGCTCGGTTTAGTCTTAAGTCTTACCATGTATGTTTTATCTATGGTCTTACCGAGCGATTCGGTGATTTAGTTATTTAGTTGATTTAGTTTGTCACATCATCAGGAAACTAAAATTTATTCGGCGATTCGTTTGACTAAAAACAAAAATCACCGATTGACGCTATAAGACTAAATGCCATTCCGTTTCCCATAAGATAAAAATTAGTTGCGTTTTGTGACAGTGAATAATGAATGACTAAAATTGATTCGGTGAATCATTCAACTAAAAACTAGGTAGCGTTCGCAGAGGCATTCACAAAATTGAGCGGAGTCATCAAGGGTTCATATTATATTGTTTTTGTCATACTGCAGTAAAAACATTCGTTTTTAATGCATGCGTTGCGGGTGTAAAGTGGCATTTTTACTCTTTAGGGAGTAAAAATCGTTTTTAGCCTCTGTCGAGTAAAAATCAGCTGTTGTCAACTCAGTTGTAAATTTTGATTGTAAACGATTGCATGTATCGAAAATATGTATTGATTCGTGCTTCGTAATCATTTTAACCTACAGTCTACAGTCTCTTCCCGTAGCATTTTAGCATTGCAGATACATTAATCCATTCCCACACTCAACACTGCTCACCTTTACTACTTCCTTCACCACCCCCTACGTCGTGGACCTGTTCCCCTCTCTTCCCATAGCATTTTAGGATTGCAGATACATTAATGTAATTGCCAAAGACAGTTCCCACTTTCTACACTGCTAGCCTTACTACTTTCTCCGCCATTTCCTACGTCACAGACCTGTTTCCTTCCCTTCTCATAGCATTTAAGTATTACAGATACATTTATCTAACTGCCCAAACGGTGCCACCAAACTGCAGTGTCAGCCTTTACTACTTCCTTCACCCCTTCCTACGTCGTGATGCCTGTTTCCTTCCCTTCTCAAAGCCTTTTAGGATTGAAAATATACATTAATCTAACTGCCACAGACGGTTCTCACGCTATGCTCATACTACTTCCTAAGCCACTTCCTACGTCGTGGACCTGTATTCATAACTTACCATAGCAATTTAGTATTTTAGATACGTTAATCGAATTGCCACAAACATTCCCCACACTCCGCACTGCTAGCATTTAATACTTCTTTCACCATTTCCTTTGTCGTGGGCATGCTTCCATCCCTTCTAATAGCATTTCAGCATTGCAGATACATTAATCTAAATGCTACAAACAGTTTCCAGTTCCCATACTCCACACACTGCTCGCCTTACTACTCCCCTCACCTCTGCCTACATCGCGGACCTGTTTCCCTCTCTTCCCATAGCATTTTAAGATTGTAGATACCTTAATCTAATCGTCATAAACAGTTCCCACACTCCGGACAGCTCGCCTTGACTACTTCCTTCACCACTTCCTACGACTCGGACCTGTTTTCCTCCATTCCCATAGCATTTTAGGATTGCAGATAATTTAATCTAATCGTCATAAACATTTCCCACACTGCGGCCTGCTCGCCTTTACTACTTAATTCCTTCACCACTCCCCACGTCTAAGACCTGTTTTCCTCCCTTCCCATAACATATAAGGATTGCAGATCCCTTAATCTAATAATCATGAACAGTTCCTACACTCCGGACTGCTCGCATTTCCTACTTCCTTCACCACTTCCTACGTCTCGGACCTGTTCCCTCCCTTCCCTTGGCAATATTGGATTGCAAATACCTTAATCTATTGGTCATAAACAGATCCTACACTCCGAACAACTTGCCTTGACTATTTCCTTCACCACTTCCTACATCGCAGACCTGTTTTCCTCCCTTCCCATTGCATTTTAGGATTGCAGATACCTACCTTAATCTAATCGTCATAAAAGCTTTCCACGCTCCGAACAGCTCGCCTTGACTACTTCCTTCACCACTTCCTACGTCGCGGACCTGTTTTCCTCCCTTCCAAAGCATTTAAGGATTGCAGATAACTTAATCTAATCGTCATAAACAGTTTCCACAGTCCAGACTGCTTGCCTGTACTATTTTCATCACCACTTCCTACGTCATGGACCTGTTTTCCTTCTTTCCCATAGCATCATACTATGATGCTTTGGATGATGCTTTATGATTCATAGGATTGCAAATACCTTAATCTAATGGTCATAAACAGATCTCACACCCCGAATAGCTCGCCTTTACTACTTCCTTCACCACTTCCTACGTCGTGGACCTGTTTCCTTTCCTTCGAATATCATTTTAGGATTGCAGATACCTTAATCTAATCGTCATGTACAGTTTCCACACTCCGAACAGCTCGCCTTGACTACCTTCACCACTTCCTACGTCACAGACCCGTTTTCCTCCTTCCCCTTAGCATTATTGGATTTCAAATACCTTAATCTATTGGTCATAAACAGATCCCACACTCCTATCAACTCGCCTTTACTACTTCTTTCGCCACTTCCTACGTCACGGACCTGTTTCCCTCCCTTCCCATAGCATTTTAGGATTGCAGATACCTGAATCTAATGGTCATAAACAGTTTCCACACTCCAGACTGCTCACCTTTACTACTTCCTTCACCTCTTCCTACGTCACGGACCTCAAGCTAGTGTCGTCATTTGATTATATTTATGATCCATACCGTTTCTGTTCTAATATCTGTGGAATAATGCTATCCGATATTTCTTTATCTACTGCATTCAAAAGTCAACAGCTGATCATATGTCTTTGTTTTTGTTTATGTGTCAAATACTGCGTCCATAAGGATTACATTGAAACTTTGTGAGACCCAGTGGGGCGGATTCCTGAGAGACTTTTTTAACGCAATATAGATGTTGGCACTCACCGATATGGTCTTTATCACTATGCAAAATTTGAAAACGATTGATTCAGCCGTCTAGGAGGAGTTTGCGTATTACGAAATGCATAAGAGTCGACGTATAAGAGCTTCGCTCGCTCCGCTCAATAACTGATTGACGCAAAAAATAACTGATTGATTATTCGGTCATGGAAACTATTCGGTTATCCCATCACTAGGAGTGACTTCGGACTTCGGTTCGGATTCGGAGCAGAATTTTTTTCATATCAGCAAGTTTGGTTGGTTTGGTTAGGTTATGACAGTTTAATTTTATAACTAAAAAAATTATAAAATTGAATTTAAGACATTTATAATTTTACTAGCAGAGTATCCGTCCTTCGTACGGGGTTGGCATATAAGTATAAATGCTTATTGTAGTTATGGGAGAGGACACGGTTTAGGAAAATTTGGTCTTTTAATTTATATACGGTATCCTTTAATGTCCTACAGTATCTACCATAGCCCTAATTTTCTACCACTGTACCTAAACCATGAAAAAAAGTAAAGTTCTCATTGTGTACCACAACTTAGCTGTGGTCATAAATGCAAAAACATAATAGTGTTGCACCCTGTTGGTAAGCCTTATACCTTTTTAATGCTATTTAATATCATAGAACCAACTTGTGAAGTTGAAACGGCTGATAAAATTCTTTAATTTCTTTAAATATGAATACTCATAAGGTTTACATGAGAAACTGCAGAGCCTGAGCCACTGGGGTGGAGCCTGAAAGGATTTTTGAGGTAAGAATATTTCTATATGTTAATCGGGAATGTCAGCTATCATCATACTAAATTTCAACCTTGTTGGTTTAGTATTTTTCGCGTTTACTTGTCACAAACATCCATCCATCCATCCATACATCCGTACATCCAAACTTTCTTACTCATAATATTAGTAGGATAAGTAAACTGTTGTAATATTGCTTGTTTATGGATCGATTTTTATCAAAATTGGCAAATTTATTTATTTCATAGTAAGCTAATGATATTTTCCTTAAAATCACACTTCGTAACCCTCCCTGTAGGCAGCAAAAACCTAGGTACTCGTTAAACCTAATATTATTGAATTAGATTTAATCGAAAATAAAGTCACACAAATGGAAATTTGCTTTGGCTGCAGGTTTGCTGCGGTGGGGGTATTATGGAATTGTAATTTATGTAGAAAGAATACTTTGTGGTAGTACATGATTAACTCTAATTCATATTAGATACTAAACAAATCAATCCCGTTGGTGCAATTAGTAGCGCCATTTGAACAGCTACTGCAAACCAGCGCTACTATTCGTAATTGCTAGCAGCTATACCCGTGCCTTGCAACGGGGTCAGTATGCAAAAGAGACAATGTTGGTTCTTAGAAACATGCCAAATGGTTTTCCAAATGCCAAATTTAGAAACAAAATTTAACTGTTCTACTTAACTTGATAATAGCACGTTTTTGTTAACTCATACTGTGATTACTTATTTATGCTACCTACGATAAAAAACCAAGGATTGATTTTAAGGTATAATAAAAGAATGTATTTCATGGTTTGCACAGTAAACGAAAAGCTTTACAATAGTTCCAAACCGAAAAATAGGAAAATAGAAATAAATATGGAAAATAAGGGTAATTTTATAACATATTTTAGTGAAATTATAATCAGGCAAATGGAAATTCGCTCAGTCTATAGATTTGCTGCGGCAGGGGGGTTATTACTGTTTACACAAAAATAAATGAAAAAAACAAACCTTATAAAACTCAGGATAAGAGCCTAGGTTAATACGGCAATGATTATAGAATCTTAATTATTTTCTATATCCATGGACGATTTTTTTACAACGAATATTTCCCTGTAAAATATTATTACAGCATTTCACAAATATTATAACAGAATCAGAGTAGGCCTATAATAGATCATAAACATAAACAAATGAAGTAACTGAAAGAATCATATACTAAAGAAATTCAAATTACATTAACATTATGGTTTGATAGCTCCATTTAAGTAATGTTAAATAATGTTTACATTCGGGCTAGTGACATCATTATTTTAAATTTATAATCCTTACCCTCTGTTCTAATATTCGTGCAGTATTTAA